CCGAACATGTTATAAAAGAAAAAAAACCTCCAACTCTTTGCTGTGTATTTAACAATTTATAGGACCATAAAGCCGCACCATAGGTTTAACATTATGTTATATTGTTCTTAGCTTTACTAAGCATAAAGCTTTGCAAGTTACATAAATGCTATGCTAGTAAAACAAAACAGAACAAACTATACTTCTAAGCACATATACAAATCACAGCTACAAAAGGAGATTTGATAGCGACAACATATAATTCCCAAGCTTCTGCACATTGATTTTTCACCCTTAGTGATGAATCTGATGTTTACATGTATACACAAAGCATATATTATTGTGTGACAGTTTTTTAAAATTGAATTTTAAAGGATATTGTTTAGTCAAGAAAGCTTCAAATTCATTTTAATTTTGATGTAAATTTCCAAATTTTAAGGATTTTGTAAAAATTAGCTGTATGTCTTTCCTTTTCTTCTTCCCTTTTATATCGATGTGAAAAGCTGCAAGTGAAGGTGAAAGTCAAATTATGTAAACAACCAAAAAAGGTCCTTTTCAAAGCCTATGGCATGGTAGGCATTGCTACTACAATGGTATATGTGTTATGGGTGGGAGTGCGGGATCCCTTTCCCCACTTGGGATGGGGTCCTTATCATATCTGGAGAAAATAAATATTTTCTGAGACTCACATGGGAGGAGGAGTGACTTTTATTTGTATGGAATTATATTCTTGGGTTTCCAGAGTCCCACTTCCCTTAATCTAGTCCTGGAAGAGGTGCAGCTGGGCATTCAGTAGAGCTACAAGCAAAACCAGTGTCCCAAATTTCTGTTCCATGGTGGAGTTGGGTCCGGTTTAGCATCAGGCTAGTTGCGATCCATCAGTCCATTGTGTGGGGTCCACATGGCCCTGAGCCAAGAGAGTGCACCCCTTGTGACAAGAGTCCCAAGTTTCCTGAAAACATAAGAGAGTGAGAGGGCCAAGAAAGAGAGAACTTCTTTGTTTAGGGGATTAACTATCCCAAATCTTCCTGAGCGTGAGTGATGTGCCTGCTCTGGCCAATGACCTGTTTCCAGGTGTGACTGACAGGCAAGTACCTTCCCTGTGTCACCCAGACTTTACTGGGCATAAGTCTATTTTCCTAGTGCCCAGTCCTTTCCTCCAGGGATCTACGGGGAATAGACTAGTGGCTCCCTGAGAGTGTTAAACTGCCGCTTCCTGGCAAAGCTGCACAAATGGGATTCCTGTAATATTTGGCCTCCCTTTGCTCTTTCCAGTTATTAATAGCTAAGTTAAATTACAATGGCATCATATGCACCATAGCAGACCAGTCTTTCTTTCCTTCCAGTGAAAGTGTCACTCAAACTTCTGATTACTTGTATTAAAACTGCAAAGGAGCTTTTGCTAATGACCCCAATAGGAGCATGCTTTGGGAAGATGTGTGAGAAAGGAAAATACTAATGCTGTCAAAATTCACGGACATGAAAATGCAGAAAGAAGTACACTACGCAGGCAAAATATACTACCATGGGCTACCAAACGCACGTCTAAAATGTGGTATGATACAAATGATCAAACTTTCTATTTGACATTCAAGTACGTAATACCAAACATCAAATATAAATGTGTTGTGCCTGAAGAAAGAAACCTTTATTCCCGGCTGAAAATGTGATTCTCAGGTTAGGATGGGGTTGGATTGGATGAGTTCGTGACTTTGTCCTGGTTTGTTCTCATTAGCTATTCAGCATGCAGTAGGCTCTCTCATTCTTCTAAGCCTGAGTTTCTTGACTTGGAAAAAAAAAAAAAAAAAAGCATCTCCACCAAAGTTAGAATTTTCTGTCATGCACCAATAATACAGTGTGGACTTATGCATTAAAGTGATGTATAAATATTAGATGTTGTTTTTATTAAATCAAGGGCTTACACCTTCTTCTATGTTCCTTAACTTTCCAAAAAAAAAAACAAAAGAAAACTGCTATATAAGAGGAGACATTTCACATGTATTTGTGCCTTAATATTCAAGACAACGATCAGTAATGCCTATACCATTGCTTGGAAGTGTTTTAAACTTCAAGTAGGATGATATCTTAAATCTCAATATGCTTGAAAATGAAAAAAAGTGCAAAAAAACCCCACAATATACTAATGCTGTGAATCCTAAAGAAAATACCCTATGTCATATACTTATTCATGAATAATGAATGTATCCTCTCTGGAAAACCAAAGTTGGATAAAACACAACCCTCCTTTACATCTCAGATTCTCAAATTCTATATGTGGTCTTTAAATTCAATAGCGCAATCTCAAATGCAGTATATCTAAACTAGGGGCTCAGTGCACGAATTTGTGCACCTTGAAAGGAACTGTGGGCTGCAAAGCTGTAGTGGGAACAGAGGCAGGTCTCAGCCCATCCTCGACACCCCCACCCAGCCCTTCCTGCTGCAGCTCCCAGTCCCATGTCTGTTGGCAGCCCTGCTCCCGCCACTGCCACTCGCACATGTTGAAGGCGCTGGCCCGGCTGGCATCGGGGCGAGCCTCTGGTAGTTACTGAAAGTTCTTTGCTCCCGCACACCATGGTCCCACCCAGCGCGGCCCCGATTGCTACACTGATGGCACTGAGCAATTGGGGCTGGCACCATCAGCGGGTGCAAGTGGCACCTGCTGCCCCAATCGCCCTTCAGGAGCAGGTGGAGGTAGAGAAGCCCTCAGGGGTGATTGGGGCCAGCAGCTGCTGCTTGCACCCACTGATGACGCGGAGCAATCAGGGCCAGCACTGGGCGTCGGCAGCTTGTGTGAGTACCAGGTGCGAGCACCAGGCAGAATCTCTTCCCTAAGGTCCTCTTGGTCATTTTACTATTATAAAGGGATGGATGTCAGAGAAAGATCAAGTAGGCACAAATGTGAGGACATCAAAATCCACAGCTTGCTCTGGGCTTTTTCATGATTGGGCCTGTTTCCTCATTTGTTTGTTTGCTTTTTAAGCAACTGAAAAAAAAATCAACTAACAGAGATAGTTGCCTGGAAAGATAGTTAGTATAGATCCTATATCCTATATAATAAAAGGCTAATATGCAAATAGACTGAATGGCGGAACAACCAAACAACTGGTCACTATGACATGCGCTGACCACCAGGGGGCAGAGTGTGGAACATGGTGCGCATTGGCTGTGGTGGGATGGTGGAGCAGGTGCAGGTGTGAGTGGGGCCATCGCCAGTAGTGGGTACAAGAGGCAGTTGCCGGCCCTGATTGCCCCTCGGGAGCAGGGGGAGGTGGAAAAGCCCTGAGGGGCAATTGGGGCCAGCAGTTGCAGCTTGCACCTGTTGACAGCGTGTAGCGATCAGGGCCGGCGCTGGGCGGGACCATGGTGTGTGGGAGCAAAGAACTTTCAGTAACTACCAGAGGCTCGCCCCAATGTCAGCGACCGGTGCCCTGCCTTGGTATGGTGGCCCCACTCACCTGCTCCACCATCCTGTCACGGCCGACACCTTCCATGTTTTGCGCATGCCCCTTGGTGGTCAGCGCACATCATAGAGACCAGTTGTTTGGTTCTGGTTGTTCCACTGTTCAGTCTATTTGCATATTAGCCTTTTATTATATAGGATTATTTCTCCTCCCCCTTATGTACTTTAGTAATAAACATGCCATGAAAATCAAAACTCTGTCTATATTGTTCACTCTTATATCCCAGTGATTTGAGCAGTATCTGGTACAAAGAAGACTCTCAGATATTTCCTGAGTCAGTGAGTCAGCAAGTGAATCAGTAAATGATAAATGAATGAATGAAAGAGTTGTTCCAGCACAGGTGCTTAATTTGAATCTCATTTAGTTAGACACCCTCCCACCCCCAGTACTACCAAGTGGCATCTGCCTTTCCCAAATCAGGTGGGTTGAGAAGTCCTGAAAGGGTGACCTTTTAAAGAAAATTCAGGGGCTGTTACTCAAAGAAAGAGAAGAGTGTACTGAGGAGGGAGGAAGAGCTGTCTGCCCTGTGATTCCCGCTTCTCTCTTTCTCTCACCATGCCTGTATGTTACTACCTTGGACTAGGTTTATGTCCTTTCTTTTGCTCCCTTCTCTAAAAAAAGTTATCAATTCTTCTTTTGAAATACCACATGTCTTTTTTTGTTACCTTTCTAATACAATCCTCTCAGTTCCTGGTCACTAGTCATACTGACCATGGTGATGTGATCTCCACAACCCAGGATCTCCTGACTGTGGGTTTCTTATTCTGTCATTTCTTTAAAAAAAAAAAACAAACAAAAAAAAGTACAACATAGTCATTTGTTCTTCTTACCTAATGGATGTTGAAAAACTTGTCAGTTTTGTCATGGTGGCATAGGAAGGTAATGTGAAGGGGATTTTTTTTTAAGCAAGAAATAGGGTTGGATTTTAGGAAAAAATATTCATTGTGTAATTCAAATGTTAGAACTCACAATTTAAATGTTTATTGTACACTACAGTGGGTACCATATGGTGTTTCATTCTTTTAACATCTGGGTATACTGACATATATTAAAGGACCCATGGAACTTTGGCTCAGTTTCCATTTAAACCTGGGTTTGTTGCCCTGGCCAATGTGGTCAGTGGATAGAACATAAGCCTGCACTGGAAGGTCTCAGTTAGACTCCATGGCGGGAACCTGGGTTGCAGGATCCATCTTGGACCCTGTTCAGGTGAGTGCAAGAGGCAACCAATCAATGTGTCTCTCTCACATCTCCCTCTCTCTCTTCCCCTCCTTCTCTTCCACTCCCTCTAAAAACAAATGCGAAAGAAAATGTCCTTGGGTGAGGATTGAAAAAAAATAATAATAAAACTGGACTTGTTTTCAAATAAAGGAAGTATAAACATTCATATTATCATTTTCTCATTTTTCTTTTTCCCTTTTATTTTAACAAATTGCTTTTGGTATGGAGAATATAAAGTCCTGGCATCAGATAAGAAAATTAAGTTTAGTTTTGCAGGTAGAGAACATGGTTGTTTCTAAGGTATTTTCTCCTTAATTTGTTAATCTGATTCCCCCCCAGGCATTTCCCGGGAACATAAACTCTGACAGTGTGGTCCGGCATGACTTACAGCATCCTGTTGTTGCCCGCTACGTGCGCTTCGTGCCTCTGGACTGGAATGGAGAAGGCCGCATCGGGCTCAGAATTGAAGTCTACGGCTGTTCTTACTGTGAGTATCACACAGATGAAATTCATGGTGGGTTTTGCTATCTTCATGTAAAGTCTTCATGTAAATTGTGACCAGTTTATTTTCAGTTATTTAACACTAGAGGCCCAGTGCATGAATTTGTGCATGCGTGGGGTCCCTCTGGGTGGCCTGCAGGGATCAGACCAAAACCCACAGTCCAACGCCGCCTGCAGCTCCTACCTGCCGCTCCCGCTTATCCCGGTCCCACTGTGCCTGCCATGGGCTCGTGCCCAATCAGTCCCAATCGGGAGAAGCTCATGCTGTTGCAGCAGCGCTTGCCAGCCATGAACCCTGCATCTGGCGCCCTCCCAGGGGGAGTGGCCCGGGGGATCTGGCTGAAACCAGCTCTCCGACATCCCTCACGGGGTCCTAGATTGTGAGAGGGTGCAGGTCAGGCTGAGGGACCCCACCGGTGCACAATCAGGTCATGGAGGGACTACGGGAGGGCTTCAGGGTGTGTCCAGCCCGTCTCACTCAGTCCCGATCAGCAGGACCCCAGCAGCAAGCTAATCTACTGGTCAAAGCATCTGCCCCCTGGTGGTCAGTGCACATAATAGTGAGCAGTTGAGCAGTCTTAGAATATCATTAGCATATTATGCTTTGATTGGTTGTTCTGCCATTTGGTCTATTTGCATATTACACTTTTATTATATAGGATGGCTTGCTTTCTCTGACAGTAAACTGCATTCTGTCTTTATATATAAATAAAATATAAGGTTGTTTTTTATTATAAATATATGTTAACATTTACTCAAACACGTTATGTAAGAATAGCTTAAGAATATGTTAAGGATTGGGAAGCAATTTTGTTCAGTTAGCTAAAACAACAAAGCTTGTTAGTAAAATTGCCTGAAGTCTTATGAAATACTTAAAAAAAAGAAACCTATGTTATTACCCACCTTTTTGGCTTTTTGTGATGGATTTTAAGTATATTCCAAGAGCTTTCTTCCAGTTCTGCTCCATTGTAGCATCACCATTCTAAAACCAAACACCAAGTTTTAATGGCAGTTACATTTTACTTGTCTATATGTTTTATTTGCTCCTTTTCAAATTTACTTGGCCATCTTTTTTTTAATCATGAGATTTTTTTTAAAAAAACTCCCGTTTTTTTTTAAAAAATACATTATGCATAGTTCTACTGATTCCACTATGAGGATTTTGGGAGATTTTAATTCTGTTACTACTGTTTCTGCTTATTTTTTAAAGTATTGCTTGATTTCTTTTCTGTCTCCTCCATTTCCTCCTCTTCCTTCCTTCATCTTCTTAGCCCTCTTACCTGGCTATCCTCTCTTCCTTATTCCTCCACTAACCCATCTTTTTGCCTGGGACTTCAAAATCTTTAAAACTTTATCTGTGGAACTTCTTTTAGGCCAGGTTGATAGTGGCACCTAGAGATGACTTATCTTTGCTCATTTGCTTCTATAAGCACAGAATTACCTTAGGGACACACAATGACCTGAAAGATTATTGGAGGCTGTTTGAGGCCACTATGTAGCATAAATTCAATCTGCAAACTCATAATTTGCAAACACTGGCTTTAGAATATGAACTCTCTTTTAAAATATTTCTCCTACCAAGAAATTTTGTTCCCATTCCCATTCTTCCAGTTGGCTGGAGGAGGAGGGATGCTGGGTATGGGCAGGATGCAGAATTGGGATATCAGGTTTATGCAAGGGATCTCTTATTAAACTCTCCCCTTAACCCTTCCTGTAGACCCATAAAAATGAAAGCTCACTATAACCAGTAAAATGGGAAAATGCACTATTGGGCAAGCTTTTTAAAATTAACCAAATACTTGGTAGTTAATAACAAAAACTATATAAATTGTTCACCTCTGTAAGAATTTAATTACAGAGATTAGTGAAGGTTGTCACTGTAATGATGACCAAATGATATTTTATTCATGAGAAACATTGTTATATGCACACTAAGCTGGTTAATACAAAGGGACCACGGAGATCATTTTTACAGTTCTATAGGCCTTTATTTTATTTGGTCATCACTTTATTATAGCAAATACAAGGAGTAGAAACACAGAGTTAGGTCTTCAGGAGAATTAGATCCTTGGGAGGAAGTTTTAACTCCTCAGGTGAAGCCTAAAATGAGTCTGAACATAAATTCATGTCCTTTTCAATACCACAGTGAGTAAGAAAAACTTGCTATGATAGATAAAGGCCATTAATTAATCTAGTAGTGTTTATATGGATGAAAATTGTGAAAGTTAAAATTTGCTCAAAGGCACACATCCTGAGTGTGAGCTGCAAGGGAACCCAGATGAGTAGGTATAATGCCAAAGCTCAGCACCTCCGTTATGTTTTCCTGCTCCTTAATTCCAGCAAAGTGAGCACCCATGTGACCAGCACCAGGTCAATAAAAGATGCATATTTCACCCCAAAAGTACTCCTTGGGCCTCCTTAATTACATTTTTGAGAATTATCCATGCTGTTAAGATATTTATTTCCATTAGTATGATGATTCTATGATATGAAGATTATACAATTATTATTTTTCATTTCTTGTTTGTGAACATTTGAATGTTTCTAGTTTTGATTATTTCCATAGAATTGTTATAAACATTTCTCATGGGTGTAGACCAAGGAAGGGGTAATACCAAGTGAGCATATGCATTTTTCCAAAATTTATTAAATGACAAAAACTTTCCTTAAAGTCATTGTATCAAGTTAGACTCTCACAAGCAATCTATGCGGGTTTAGTTGCTCCAAAAATTCTGTCATGTAGTATTGTTTTAGCCATTCTGGTGGGTGTTTATTATATCTCATTTTAGCATTAATGAACACTATCTTGATTTTAAAAGTGAGTATTTGCTCAAAGTCACACATCCTGAGTGTGAGCTGGAAGGGAACCCAGATAAGTAGGTATAATGCCAAAACTGGTCTTTTCTGAAAAGTTTGTTCAGGAACCTTGCCTGTATTTCTATTGGGTTATCTTTATCTATTTGTCTAATTGGTTTGAGCAGTATTATTTTATTTTTATTTTTTATTGTTTAAAGTATTACATATGTCTCCTTTTCCCCCCATCGACCCCTCCCCAGCCACTACCATCCCCCAGGACAAGCCCCCACCACCGCAGTGTCCAGGTCCATTAGTTATGCTAATATGCATACATATAAGTCCTTGGTTAATCTCTTACCCTCCCCTCCCCTACCTTCCCTCTGAGGTTTGGCATGTTTTTTACAGCCAACTCTGTTTCTTGTTTTATTCTCATTATGATATCTAGACATGTATCTTCTTTTTGAGATAGCTTTAAAAATAATTATTTGAAAACCAACATAACCAATTAAGTTCCTTTAGAACTCATAGTAAATGATAAAAGCAACTTGCCAAAAGAAATAGCCCTCTGACTGTGAAACATGACAATGTGTTCTATAACCACTGCAAGTTGATTTGTAAAGTTTGAGGTAGTGCTATCATGGACTTTTCCATCAATCTTGGGCTTTGGCAAGCACAACGCACAAGAAGGAAAAATATCTGAAACTAAATAGGAAGCTGGATATTCTACTGCATATGCCTTTCTGGTAGGAGAAATCATACCCTTTGGGTAAATGTATTAACATTTATACCTATAAATGCCTATAGATACCGATAGATGCCGGTGGAGTAATGATATATTGGCAACATAGGATCAAATAAAGTAAAATGAAAGTTGAAAAATAGCATTGTAATAGGTTGTAATAAATGGATAATGACCTTCTAGAGATAGCTGGCTCTGCTTCCTGTTACTTGATAAGACAAGTGTTTGCAGATGTGATTAAGTTAATGATCTTTTTAAAAAAGATATTTATTGATTTTTAAAGAGAGAGGAAGGGAGAGGAGAGAAGGGAAGTGGGGAGAGAGAGAGAGAGAGCGAGCGCGAGAGAGCGAGCAACCAACTGAGCACACTGTAAGGGCAAGGTAATGGTCTTGATTTGGGGAGAGTATTCAGTGGGCTCTAAATGCAATCACATGCATTTTCATAGGAGGTAGGCAGAGGGCAGTTTTGCAGGCAGAAAAAGATGGAGGCGAGGTGACCACGGAGGTAGAGATTGGAGAAATGTCACTCTTCTCCAAGGAATGTGGGCTGCCACCAGGAACTGGAAGAGGAGAGGAGATTACCCCCAAGAGCCCGCAGAGGGAGTATGGTCTTGACCACATATTGATTTCAACCCAATGAAACTGATTTGGGACTTTTGGCCTCTAAAACTGTGAGAGAACAAATCCCTGTGTGTTTTTAAGCTACCATATTTTGGGTAATTTGTTATAACAGTAACAGGAAGCTAATACAAATGTCAATGTCATTTTAGGGGGGAAAAAAAAGACACAAAAAATATCTCTAGAGCGATGCTCTCCAGTGGAAATTTTACACGAAGATGTAAATATTCTAGACCTGCTCTAATCACTAGACAGGTGTGGCTATTGAGCATTTGAAATATAGGCAAGACACTGAGGAGCTCAATTTTTAATTTAATTTTAATTCATTTGGATTAAAATAATGTAGCTTAAAGGAACCAAAACATCTGCATCTTATTTTTTCTCATAATCTAAACAAATTATGACATTTATGTTTTAATTGACAGTCTCTAAATTTTTCCCTGGGGGTTAGAAAACAACAGTTTAATCATTCTGAAGAGGCTGTTTTTACTGTCAAAAATTTGATGACAGGTCATTTCCCTAACCAGATCCTTAACTAGGTCATTTCCATAACCAGAATCCAGAACAGATTATTTTTTATTTGTCTATTTATAAAGAATACAAATTATATTTATGTCTTTTTCAAGAAAAACATGCATGTTTATACAGGGAGGAAAAAAAAGATGTGTTAAGCGCACTTGTTATGGTCAACTTTATCCAAGTTACAATGGTTTAGAATAGATTTACCTACACTGGAGATCAGACTGGAGTGGGCCCTGAGAAGATGGTCACCTATTTTTTCCTGCATGCAGTGAACTGTTGGCTCAAGGGCTCTGTTTGATTTTTCAGTGAGAA